AAAAAAAAAAAAAAAAAAAAATTAAAGTGGTTTCAGGGAATAATTCCTCCCCATAGCATTTATTATGAAAATCTCCAAACCTGAAGCAAAGTTGAAAGGACTGTGTAGGGACTATCCATATTCTCACTACCCAGATTCTGCCATCAGCATGTGATGCGCTGCACTGTTACACAGCTATTCACCTGTCACCCTTCCATCTCTATTTTCAAAAATGCCTTTTTTTTTTTTTTTTTTGAGTCGAGTCTCCCTCTATCGCCCAGTATGGAGTACAGTGGCATGCTCAAGGCCACTGCAACCTCGACCTGCTCGGGTGATCCTTCCACCTCAGCTTTCCAAGTAGCTAGAAACACAGGTCCATGCCACTGCATCCAACTAATTTTTTTTAAAAATTATTTATTATAGAGCCGAGGTCTTGCCACGTTGCCCAGGTTGGTCTCGAACCCCTGGGCTCAGGCAATCCTCCAGCCTCCGCTGCCCCGGCCAAAAATGCATTTCAAAGTGAGTTGCAGACACTTCACAGGTTGATGTTTTGTGTTTTTTTTTTTGTTTGAGATGGGGTCGCACTCTGAAGCCCAGGCTGACATACAGTGTCATAGCTCACTGTAGCCTTGAATTCCTGAGCTCAAGCCATCTTCCTGCTTCAGCTTCCCAAAGTGCTGGGCATGAGTCACTGCACCCGGCCCAGGGCTGGATTTTTAATGTGACTCTGGCACTCCCCAATGGCTTGTACATCACATGATCCCACAATGCAAAAATACAAAAAGTAAAAGGTGTGCTCACCGCCGTATTTACAAGCCATAAAGATATTCCACAGGCCAGGTCAGAGGGACTATTTTGCTTGTGACGGCGAGGGTTGTTTTCTTTGTCACTCTAACTGTGGTTGGCAGCACTATACAATTATTCACATATAACCTGACACAATATCCCAGAGTATCAAAGGTTTGGAGAGGAGGTAGTCTGTTATTTTGTTGAAGGGCTCGGGGTGAAGTGTGTGTGTTAAGAGGAGCACTTACTACTCATGGTGACTGGCCAGCTATGTGACAAGGTCTGTCCCCTGCAGAGGGACGGCAAGCCACACAGGGGCCCTGCTACTCTGTACTTCCTTCACAGGCCCAGAATTAGCTCCACAGCCTAACCTGAGGTCAAAGCAGCTGAGGGTGCCCCCGATCCAGGGTTTAAGAAGAAAGGAGTTAGGAGGCAAGGGAAGGAGAGAGTGGGAGTTGGCAACTCAGCAGAGGTCACCAGCATTTCTTAGAGCAGCCTCATGGCCCGAGACGCATGCCCAAAAGACCCTACAGCCCTTGAGCACAGCCAGGACACGACGGGAAAGCGATAGTGTGCAGAGAGCTTGCGGGACGCCCAGGGCATGAAGAGCTCAGCCTGATTCAGAGGAAGTGGGAGCAGCTGAGGGGCTGTGGGACCAAAGAAAACCCTCATCTGAGTGGCTATTTGGCCTCTGATATTTGAGGACTCCAAAGCAAAGCCCTAGCAAGCCAACCCAGGAAATAAGCCTCAGGCTTCCTACCTGGTGAAACTGCTGAAGCTGCCGGAATTCTTGTCTTCAGTGACTCTCCTAATAGACTCAGATTAGTTTATATCGGGTTGCTCACTGCCT